AGTGTCAATTCTGTTCATGGCATCTTGAAGCAAACATTGGAAAACCAAATGACAAGTGCTCCTTCTGCCCTCCAGACAGTTAATGGCCACAAAGATGAAAGTGGGGTGGGAACATGGGGTATAAAATGAAGAATTTCCAAGAATTTCTCTCTCTTCATTTTGCATGGCAATGGTACACATCTTGAAACATTTGGTCCGTATAGTTAATCAAGCCAATTTGACATGCATGAGTGAGAAAGGGGAAACAAGGCCTGCACTCTTAAAAGGTGTCTTGTGTTTCTTAACAGCACAAAAGTTAATTGTCTTAATTGATAGTCTTGAACAAATTAGAAAAGCACATTATTAATGGGTTCTGGGTGGATATCATATTTTACAAAAGATATGTGAATGATGTTTGAGTTATTTCGAAAAAGGGCAACAGAACACATGAGTTTGTAGAAGCAATCAATAATCAAAATAATCAAAAAATTTCTTACTGGAACTAATTCAAATACATAATATAAGAAAACAACGCCTTCTATAACATTCCAGCAACAAAATTCAATACTCTAATAACGTTTTCGACCGATTTTATCGGCCTTCTTCAGTTACTGCTATAACGAAAACGAACAAAGTATTCGAAAATTTACGTAGAACAAAATTAAATTAAAAATTAACTGCGGTTGCGCAGATCGACGGAAAAATAAAATAAAATACGTAAATAAATAAATAACAATAATGCCTTCATCATTAACTTGTGTTATTGTAAAACNTGTTATTTATTTATTTACGTATTTTATTTTATTTTTCCGTCGATCTGCGCAACCGCAGTTAATTTTTAATTTAATTTTGTTCTACGTAAATTTTCGAATACTTTGTTCGTTTTCGTTATAGCAGTAACTGAAGACAGCCGATAAAATCGGTCGAAAACGTTATTAGAGTATTGAATTTTGTTGCTGGAATGTTATAGAAGGCGTTGTTTTCTTATATTATGTATTTGAAGCAATCAATAATAACAATAGTAATGGATTAAACCTTAAACTAGAACAACAAAGTTCTGAACAGATCCAGTTTTTGGATATAGACATCCAGTTGACAGGAGATTTTATAGCAATGGATATCTACATTAAACCAGTGAACAGTCCACTATACATTCTGGCTAACTCAAATGACCTGTATGAATACAGACTGTAGGCTTTCCATGCATCCATTAGAAGAGCATATTTATATTGCTCTAATGTACTAGACAGGATCAAGGAAATTAATCAAATCAAGAAAATAGCCATAAGTTTGGGATATAAAAAGAGTACAATACAATGGTATAATTAAAAAATATAATAAAGGCAAAAAGAAAAACCCAAAGAAATCAATGGTTCATGTATAATAAAAACATCAAGAACATTATGAAACAAGTGGTGGACTAAAACACATGCCAAATTTTCAAAAGGGCTCATAATTTATACAGTATTTTGAGAAAGAAAAAAGGTCAGCTCAAAAATGAAGATAAAGCAGGCATCACGTACCTTAGAAAAAACCTTTAACCGATGCGAAGTAAAAATTTAATAGTACAAACGTTTTCAGACCCCTCCTGGGTCCATCTTCAGGCAAAAATCGTTTGAAGATTTACGAAGTACGAAAAATATTCGTTTAGAACGATTTTTAAAAGCGAAAAGATAGAACGGAATCACGTGATCTATATCTGTGAACGTCATATCTTCTACGTCATATTCACAGATACTTAAATATTTTCCATCGTTTTTAAAGATTTTATGAATAACTTTGTTGTTAAGCCCACAAAACATATCACTTAATTTTTAGATAACCCATTTACTTCCTTTCTTTTAGGATTACGACGCACTTAAATCTCCTGTTGTAATAGGGCCTGCCATGCCAAAGAAAGAGAGATCTCATCTCTGGAATTGATCGGTGATGTAGTGTTGTATGCCTTGCATAATTCTATCTGCTCCAACCATTTGAGATGGTCTAAATATGAGGTGGTGGTGATTAATTTAGCATTTGAAAAGTCCGCAGTTATTTCTGGATCAGACGCGTAAGTTGATAAGGAAGTGGTACATTTATTTTGCTGGATGTCACGCATATGTTCTTTCAATCTGATCCCAACAGCTCGTTTTGTTGAGCCTATGTAAATTAAGTCCTTCCCAAAACGATGGTCCCTAAGTGGCACTTTATATACCCCCGGCATTCTTTCTTCCTTAGATTTGTCTTTTCCATTACGTAGAATACCAAATATGGTTGGGCATCTTCTGAAGGTTAAGGAGATACCCTTTTGCCGTGCGATTCTATTATGAAGTGATGTCAACAGTGGGTTGTAAGTAACTGACACCCTTGGTTTATCCTCCTTTTGGTTAGCATCTATTGAATTAATTCTTATAGAAGGAGACATCGTTTCTCCTAATCGTTGCGACATTTTTTGTATGATGTTATGGTATCCATGCTGTTTGGCCACTTCATATAGGTATTGTATTTCCTGTTCTAAGGCCTCTTGAGTAGAAGAGTGTGAGTAAGCCCTTTTAACTAGAGCCCTGAACGCCGCCATCTTGTATTGGACCGGGTCACATGAGTCTGCCGGGATATAAGTTGGATTGTCTGATGGTTTGCGGTACACAGAGGTGTGTATGATCGGTCCTCCGAAGTCAATATTCAAATCCAGAAAATGCACCGATGAGTCGCTGTGCTGTTCGACCTCCAGGGTGAGACCATATGGATTGTCGTTCATTTGATCCACGAATTGGGTGATGTTCGGAGGGTCTCTCCAGAGAACAATGATGTCGTCAACGTATCGTTTGTAAATTATGATGTTTTGGAGGAAATTCGGAAGTATTTTTCTCTCTAATTCTCTGATTACTAGTTCACATAGATCCCCGGAGACAGAACTGCCCATGGGGACCCCTTTATCTTGCGTGTACGTAAGACCTCCGAATTGAAAAATCGAGCTGTAATGAGAAAGGAAACTTATGAAAAGGGCCTTAAAGACTATATTGATGACACAAGATGTGTGGAAGCGGAGAACAACGCCATAGACAAATTGCATTCTAGGGTGAAACGATTCTCCAACACAAAATTAGCATCAAGATTAGGTATGCGGAATATAGTCATGGATGCACCTGACACCCCAAGTTATTTGCATATGCAAAAATTCACAAACAAGACCAGAAATTGAGACCGATTGTAGACAAGGCCAAGTCCCCTACACGCATGTTAGAAGTCTCTTTTCACAAAATGATCGCGCCACATTTAGAAGGGTACAGATACACGATTTCTAACTCAGTTGAATTAGCAGAGCTCCTCAAGGACACTGAACATCCCAGCTTTATTACGATCCTGGATTTCCGATCACTATATCCTTCGATCAAGATTCCTCCATGTTTTTGCAGAATCAGGGACTTACTGTTTACAATCGTAGGCAATGAAGAATTCCACCAACAAGTTCTAGAGTTGTCCCGCTTGATTTCTTACAGCTCGATCTTTCAATTCGGAGGTCTTACTTACACGCAAGATAAAGGGGTCCCCATGGGCAGTTCTGTCTCCGGGGATCTATGTNTCGCTGCATGTTAAAGCTGGTAAGCTTCTAAAATTAAATTATTTATTAATTAATTGCGTTATAATCATTTTAAATATACCTAACGTTGTCACTCGACGCCGATCTAAACCTTATAATTATAAACTAATGTTTTTCATAAGTGTTTACTGTGTAATTCTTTTCTTCACAAAGTGAAGATTCAGATAATAATCATCAAAATAAACAAAGATTTTTATAATATAGCCAGATTTCTATATTACAAATTTCTCTCTTCAACATTCCATAGAAACGTTATTGAAAATACATTTTTTTTTATTTACATTTAAAAATTTCCCATTTAACAAAGTGTAATTGTTTATAACAAATTTTTTAAGCAGGGTAAAGAAAAATTATTATATTGCTAAGTATTAAAATTGGTTAAAGTAGACTCATTTTTGCAATTGCTGCTGGCTGGACAACTATTACAATACAATAATTGCACTGTACAGTGTTCACAATGAGATGAAACATCTTTATCTAAGGATAATTTCAACTAATAACCTTTCAAACATGTCCAAACTGTAAGAAATGATATCCTCAGTAAGAGTATATCCAAAAAGAAATTTTCCATTGTTTAAAGTTGATTGGCTGTACTTGGGGAGGTTTTTTTGGGCAAAAGGAGTGCCAAGTCTAGCCAGTTATGTCTCTATATGCCCTTTTGGGTCTTTTAATATGTGATAATTGTTATATGTCCTAGAGTTCTATATATAAGTTTATTACCTGTAGATATGCTATTGTGGGTTGAATTTGTCCTTCATTGTCTAGTATATTCCATATAGCATTGTCATCTGAAAATATCTGTCACCAAAGATAGTGTTCTCTGGCCGTTTTGTACTGTGGGTGTGTTAGTAGTATATGTCAGAATGTAAGTGGGATGTGTCCATTTAAGTAAAGTTAGAAGTATTTGCTAAGAGTTAAATAATTTTAGATAAAAAAATTGATTAAAATATTTAAAAAACACTATTTTTCATCATTTATTTACGCTTGTAAGAGCGTTAAAACGTATATATAATGACACGTAAACTNTGTAAAATTCATGTACTGTATAACACTATTTTGTTATTAACATGAGTACAAGAATATTTGTGTGGAGAAAAAATTGTCATTATATAGTATACTGTGTTATCTTTTTACTACTGGTGCATTTCCTATTTAACAAGTTTCCTAAATTCTCTATATTCATTATATAAAGATTTGATTATATTTAATATTGTGTGGTATGAATTTTCAACCATGATATCACTGAATTTTTTCAGTAAATTACAATCAAATTGATAGAAATTTATATGAACATAATTGCAATTTAAAGAATCATTGTAAAAGCCATACAAACTTATTTATGCATTTAAATAATGACACAGAAAAGCTAGATAGGACAGATATTAGAAGGCAAAATCTTTTAATACGTATACAATCAAAACACATCTGAAACTTTACTTACTTCTCTTTTTATCCTTTTAATATGTAAATAGATAGCACTTCCAGTCCTATGATAATGCCTTTCGATATGTTTAAGACCAAGACCAAGAAAAGTATTTAGACACACATATAAACCAGTATCAGATTCCTGTAAAAATTTAAACGTATTAACATTATTTTCAGATTCATAAAAAAAAACTATAAATTAACACAACTTAAGCCTGAACTATTGTAATTTTTACTATTCCATTTATTGTGTTCTCTTCACTAATATTTTCAATTCTAAAATAAATTAGATAATTCTGGTGAACTTTCCTAATTTTCTCCCTTAACAGAACTGGAGAGTATTTTAAGATATTTTCCAGTATAAAATACGTAAAATCAGATTAATTGAACATTCCATTAATATACAATAGGAGACTGACTTATAGATTACTAAGAATGGGTAAAAAATTCAATTTACCGGTATACTCAATGCCTACACTGCACAGATTAGGTATTAAGTCTTTAGCATGTTTCTAAACATGCATAGCTGTACTTATTAATATATTTTCTTCTATAATGAGAATTCCATAAAAGTTTCTCACTATGACTAACCTAAAAAGAGTGAAAACTCAGAAAAAAACAAATTACATATGTTAATGCTTCCTTGAGATGATACAGATTTAAATGTATGTTCTCAATTTTAACATTCATATAAATACAACTTACAAGTTTAACAATGTCACAGATTTTTTAAATACCATTCACTTATACATTTAAAATTTTTTACAACAAAAGTTTCGTTTTTAATGTATAACAGCAATGTAATACCAATTTAAAATTTAAAAAATCATCTAATAATTCTAAAATCAACAAATTAACAGTTTCTGCTGAAACTTTACTATCATACTAATTTATTACATAATATCTTTTAAATTCAAATATTATTTGTTTAAAGTTTTCAAAAAGGTTGTAAAAATATATATAAAGTTTTGGCTGCAGAGTGACATAAGCATAAACACGTCCATTTATATATATATGGACGTGTTTGTGCCTATACGTCACTCTGCAGCCAAAACTACATCACACATGAATGTTTGTGTTTGGTAGTAGCCCCAAGTCTCCCATTGTGCACTATAGTGGTTGCGTCTCAATAGCTATAAGGGTGTGAGAGATATGGGGTTTGAAAGTGGTTGACTTCAAAAATGTGTGACGTTTCAATGAGAATATTCCAGTTTTTTTCTAGAAAGTTACAGACCCTAGAGGTGAAATTTGATACACAGGGTATGTCATGAAAACACACACTAAGAAGGGATTTTTCGAAATTCCCCCGCGGGGGGAGAGGGAAAGCATTAAGGCTTAACCTGAAGAAAGGCTTCTACTATACCATTTTAGATGTGATTTTTTTGTTTTTAATTATGTTTAGTCTTCATTGAGTACACCTTAGGGGTATTAAATTGATAACATTTAAGACATTGTTATAAATATTTTTTATATATTTCGATTTTTTAACCACATGTTCGAACCATTTTAAATTCAAATTTCTTTTTGCATATTGGTTCGATTATAGAATGATTGTAAATGTTCCAGAAAATTTATCAAATTAAAAACAGTTCATTTGATTCTCAGCAATTCCCATCATTCTCAGTGGTAGGTGTTAAATAACAACTACTATGGTTGTTGAAATATTGAATGTAAATAGGGTTTGCTTGCAAAATCCGTGTGAGCGAAGCTGCGGGTAACAGCTAGTCTTTTATATAAATGAAAAGATTTTTGTGAGTCAGGGTGATAAAGTTGAAACAATGTTATAAAGTTTTGAAAATATCGAGACAGCAGGAAGAGTAATTGAAGTCAATCATCATGTCAAAAATGCCATTAAGTTTTTATTTTAATGTATTCATCTGGAAGTTTGTTTAATCTATAAATGATTCATACAATAAATAGACATTTATACCACTAAATTAATTTAAACTAATAATAACTGATAATGTTCATTTTAAGTATATCATTTTGTAAGAGCAACTATTTGCAAAAAAATCTTTGACTTTAATGTAAATATAAATTAATTTTTTTCCACATGCTATAAAATGTTTAAAATTGTCATATTTTACAGATCTACAGAAAGCATGCTTAAAACAGACCCTAAAAACCAGAAAACGTCCTAAATGGAAAGAATCTTGAAATAGAATTTTACATAGCAAACTATTCCATCAGCTGAATTTCTGACCATAACAGAAAAGAAAGACTGGGAAATCAATTGCATAACAAATTAAGTGGATCTTTTTGGCATAACAGCAGTTAAATTCTAAATCAATTATTGTTGTAGCTCGAAGACTTAGATCAGTCAACTTCTCAATAACCAGAGTTACAGTTTATCATTTTTTGTTTTCTTTATTCAAATCATGCTACCATTGCCTAGAGTGACTGTGACAATACAATACAGGTAGCCCTCTGTTTACGCCGGCTCAACTTACGCCAATTCACAATAACACCGCTGTGCAATTCGCCGTTTCGCGATGTAATTCTCTGATTTTCCCTATGCTAGACTGATTTTCATTTCAGTGTTGACATATTTACCAAGCCGCGACATTGTACATTCATTAAAACAAAGATTTTTATTGAATATATTTATTTTTTCTATTTAATATTATTGAGTATGTGTACATCATTAAAGTAATATTAAAATACTAAACATTTAGGTACCCACGAGTCAAGTTATTAAACTTAATAGTCAAATAAATGGCATCTGAATCCATAGCACCAATGAAAGTATCCTGTATCAGTTTGTTCAGGAAAACACCTTACGACGCAGTAGCACTTCAGGCAATCACAAACTATCGTTAGTGAGACAAATCTACTTATCATTGGCCAGATGATACTTTTTTATTAGCCAGATGATATCTATCTCTCCTTAGCCACCTTGAATTTTCCTGCTCAAACTGACCTTATATATGGCACTACGTCGATTGGTGGTTGACCAATCAGTGCCCCTGCTCGTCTGTAGCTCAACATCAGGTTAATGTATCCTTTCAACTATGGAAAGTTTGACGGATGCATCTTGTGAGTTAGACAATAATTGAGAGCAAAGCGCAAATGTAAAAAGGAGCATCATCAGATCCATTCGACCATATTCTGAAATTCTCAATGAAAGAAAACAAAAATGTAAACAATTAAAGATGAATACTTTTTCCGAAAAATGTAAGAGATCACAAACTAAAATTTTTTAATAAAAACATTTCACTTTATATATATATATATATATATAAATATAAAAATGGACATGTATGTCCCTATATTTCACTTTTTCGCCAAAACTACACATCATACGTGAATGGTGTTTGTATGTGGTGGTAGCCCCAAGTCTCCATTCATGCATAGGGGTGGTTGCGTCTCGATAGCTGTAAGGGTGCGGGAGATATGAGGCTGAAAGTGGTTGAAAGTGGCTTTCTATTTTGAATGTTTTGTTCAATTTTTTTGAATTTGTTCGAATTAAATTCGAACATAAAATTCGAATTGGTTCGATTATAGAACGATTGAAAACGTTCCAGAAACGTTGAAATTTGTTCGTTTGACTAAACGTAAAAATTCTCTAATTAGTCTGGAAACGGGGGACCTAATTCTTGCATTTTGTGAAAACGGGTAAGATTAGCTATAATGTAATTATCTTAATCTTCACTATCGTTACTTTTTGCCCAGCGAAGCGGGTCCTTGCAGCTAGATTCTAGATTACTTAGAAAAACAGTCTTTTATATATATAAAAAAAACTATACTATTACATACAAATAAAAACCCAGCAAAGCGGGATCTTGCAGCTAGTTTTATGATAAAATACATTATAAAAATTAAATTTATTTGTATTTTGTATTATATTATATTAATAAACAAAATTATTTGCGTATTTTTCACTTATGTAGAACATAACCCTATATCTCAGTGTAAATATGGGTTCATTTTACACTGATTCAATTTGCACCGGCTTTTGTAGGAATGGAACTGCAGCGTAAACCAAGGCCTACCTGTTCCACTGTTTCTCTTCAGTTTGCTTTGAGAGTTGACTGATTTTCTAAGAATATGAAACATTTTAAAAATGCCAATTAGTTTGAGAAAAAGGTTACATTAGAATAAATTTTATTTTTAGTAATTTTTTTCAATTAATGTGTTCCCATGTTTCGTAAATAAAAATTGTCAAGAAATTTGAATTAAATGATTCCACTTTCTCAATATTATCCAGATACTAAGATGCTATAAACTAGACCTAATCAAAATTCATACTATATTACTGATGATAAAAAAAATTGGTTTCTAAAGCAATTATTCTTACAATTTTTAAATATAACTATTTTAAATAATATAAAACTTCTATATTAATCTAACTTGACTGTAGTTAATGACTAAGTGCTGATTAATAAATTATAAGTTCTTGTGAATAGGACAATTAAAACATATGATAGATTTCTGGGTTTAAAAAGTTTCTTCTTCTGTGCACCACATACATATTTTGGTATTTTCACAACATGCTAATGAACAACATTTACATTGGAAAATAAACAATTCTAAATATAAGTTGTAACATTTTTTCAACTTTTCTTTTTTCTGCATTAATAAAAACAACACTAAAACAAACCTGCCAAAATGAAAAATTCTGGCTAGTTCTGTTACATTCCATTTGAGACAGATTTTACTGTATTTGTTGAAAACAAATATGTAATATCTATCTATAATTGTTGATTAGTAATTGGACTACACAATAATCCAAAAAATAATAATAATTTGATATATAATGAAACATTGTTACAAAGACCTATAAAAATATTAGTAAATTAAAAAAACAAGACTGATAACAGATAAAACCCCTTTAGATCACAGTCAGAAGTTATAGAATGAAATTTACCAACACAAATTATCATTCTCAAATCCTGTCAAAAGTTATTTGACATGAACTGAGTGTTTCATATTTTATTGGCATTTTCTCTGGTTGTTAGTTTTTCCCATCAACTTAACCAAATAATACTGTTGTTTCAGCTTTTCTTCTAAATAAATATATCCAGGATGACATTCACTTTTCAACCTGTTTTAAACAAAGCTAAACTACATATGGCTCAAATTAATGAATATATGTTGGTTTGCCTTAAGATAAGATTCAATAAATAACAAATATGGTGTGCA